TTATTTTTCAATGGCTGGCAGCGTTAGGTCTGGGGCAGGAGGACAGAGACCCCCTTTAGACCCTGTTCTGGAATGCAGCCTTAGGTGATGGCATGCCTGCTTGGCTTCATCAAATGCTATTGATGTCCTGTGTCAATAGTGAAATTTGTTTCTGTCACAAGCCAGGAGTAGAGGAGAGGTGAGGAGTAGGACTTGGGTGCCCTGCTCGTTGGACATTACATAAATGCTCCTCTACGCATGCTCAGGGTCTCTAACATTATGGCTGGGTAGCTTTTTGGGTTAGGAAAGCCTGGAGGACCTGTTTGACTACAAAACGGTAGCCAGTGGTCCTCATCTGAGTTGGAACCTGAGATTTAAATTCGTCTTCATAATAGGCATGGATGGGTTCATTATGACAGCTAAGAAAAAGGAGAGATGAAGAAGAAAGTTCTAGAGGAAAGATGGGAAGAGACGGTGGTAGGTGGAGCCTACGGGGAGAAGCTAACTGAGAAATTCCCCTTGGTGGGAAAGTTAGGGGCTCTAAAATGTCTTATCTTCAGTGTCTAAAGTTCTTTGCTGGTCTTCTCTGTGCAGTTATCTCCCCCCACATCTCTCAGCCCTAGGATGGTCTCTTTCTCAAGATAAGTTTCAGCAGTGTCTGGAGTAAGGGAAGCCTAGGAGTGAGGACAGCATGAGGCAGAGCAGGAAAGAGAGAGAGTAGAGTGGCCACCAGAGCCAGAGTCATGCCCACGAGCCCGAGCTGGTACAGAGTACATCTGGGGCACTGAATGAGGAGTGATTCCACTCATATCTTCCCTTGGTGTGATTCCATCCACATCCACACCTTTCCATGCCCCCACTTGTTCCCACAAAAGAGAGGAAGGCCACGTTAGCGGGGACATGAGCGGGGCGGGGGGCAACTCGCTCCCTCATTTTGCGTATAGCACAATCTTGAGTCATATATTTCCAGCAAAGAAAAAACACTATTGTATTGTTTAGTATTGCATTGTTGAGTGTTTTTATGAATACTTCAATGTCTTCGATTTTCTTTAGAATATGCATGTAGCCTGTACGATGTTACCTTCCATTACCAGTTAATGTTTCATACGTTTATGTCTTTCTCTGAAACAAAATTGAACATGCTTAAGGACAAGGCGATTTGAAGCCTCGATGAATCTGCCAGTGCATCTAGCACACAGAGTATCTTTAATAGACATTATTTAACAGGATATAGAAGGCCATTAAGCTCCATAGATGAAAATAAATGTCTATTTCATTTTTAAAAGATAATTTTTACAAATGCAGTCAACTAAGCCCAGGATCTAGGGTAAGACTGCCTAAGTATGAAAGTTTGTTTGTTTGTTTATTGAGACAGAGTTTTGCTCTTATCTCTCAGGCTGGAGTTCAGTGGCACCATCTTGGCTTACTGCAAACTTCACCTCTGGGGTTCAACTGATTCTCCTGCCTCAGCCTCCAAAGCAGCTGAGATTACAGGCACCTGCCACCAAGCCCACCTAATTTTTGTATTTTTAGTAGAGATGGGGTTTCACCATGTTGGCCAAACTGGTCTAGACCTCCTGACCTCAAGTGATCCACCTGCCTTGCCCGCCCAAAGTGCTGGGATTACAAGAATGAGCCACTGTGCCAGGCCTATTTATTTTTAATAGAGATAGGGTCTGATTATGTTGCCCAGGTTGGTCTTGAACTCCTGGGCTCAAGTGATTCTCTCGTCTTGGCCTCCCAAAATGTTGAAATGATAGGTGTGAGCCACCATGCCCAGCCTGTATGAAGGTTTAAAGGCTGTTTCCACACAACCTGTGTGACCATGGGCAGATTACTCAACATCTCTGTGCCTCAGTTTTCTGATCCATAAAGCAAGCATTGAGCATCGTAACAGCATCTCCTTCCAAGGATTGTTCTGGGGGTTGGTAAAATACCCAAAGCACTTAGCTCCCTGGAGGCAGCCATAAGCTACATGCTTCCTCACCAATGGGGATTTCTCAGTTAGCTTTTACTTTCAGGCTCCACCTACCACCATCTTTTTCCATCTCCCCACTAGACCTTTCTTCTTCATCTTCCTATTGTTTGTCCAGCTTCACATGCTTGCTTCAGTGACGCCATCTAATAATTCCCTAATTGTGGAGGCATGTCTATTTTTCTTCCTTCCCAAGTGTTGACTCCTTGAAGGGAAGCAATTGGCCTCTAATCTTCCCGCCCACTTCTCTTGCAGTATCATCTGAAAATGCTTTATGAATTATACTGAAAGACCTGCAGCTGCTGGCCCATTCTTAAGGGCAGAAAGATAAGACCAGTTGCTCCAGTCCCCTCAGCCACCCATCTGAGCTGAAAGCCAGAGGCCCTGAACACTTTAAGTCTGGCAGGCCTCATAAGAACCTGTCCTTTTGTTTCAGGGAATTAGGGTGTCTGTTTTAGGTCTTCAAGTCTCTTAGGGGTCTGTACCAATGATCTCCAGGGTGGGAGTATGTACAACATAGATGACCCCCTCCCCAGATATGGGGAAAGCAAACTTAGAATTTTTTTTATGGCTACTGGATAATTATTTTTAATATTTACTGCTTTGCAATCTCCATTTTTATGTGTGTTATACTAGATAGAATTTAATAATGTTATATATGATGTCTTTGATATCGAAATAAAAAGACATAGACACATATTAAAGGCATTTCTCCTACAGGCAATTATGATGCAGTTTCTGTGGTTGTGAAAATGCAAAGACAAAATTATATGAATTAAGTATAGACACAGGAATAACCTTGGTGGGTGCAGGGAAGAGAAAGTTTGTAGCTTTATACTTAGGAGCTGGAGAGAAATAGCTGTTCCTCCTCTACTTGTGGTCCTAAGAGGTGATCCAAGCACCTCTGGAAATTTCCATAGTATTATGTCAATCAGCATGTTTTCTCAAAATTGCTTTAAGTTCAAATGTGCAGGCTGGGTTGGAGTCTTGGACATCTCAGTGTCACAACCTTAGCACATTCTGCCACAGCTATTACTGAGAAAAGCCCCCAGCAAACGGGTTTCACCTCTGAAGCAGTTAGAAGGTATTGTTGCCTTCCTCATAGGTGGGAGGGAAAAACATTTGTTCATTCTGGATAGCTCTCCATTGAAGGCTTGGAGCAGGGGACAGCAATTTTTTCCTGTCAAGGGCCAGACAGCAAATATTATTGGTTCTGCCCACCTTATGGTCTCTGCTATGGGCACTCCACTCTGCCCCTGCAGGGCCCAAGCCACCATGGATGACATATAAGTGAATTGGTATGGCTGCATCCCAATAACTTTATTTATGGAGAGGTTTGAATTTCATATAATTTTCATATATTACAGACCATTAATCATCTTTTGATTTTCTCTCCCAACCATTTAAAAATGCGATCATCACTTAAATCCTGGGAACTACTGAAACAGATGGGGAGCTACAGTTGGCCCATGGGCCATTGTTTGCTGAGCCTGACTCAGAGAAAACACTGTCACAGTAGAGTTTTTTTTTGTTTTTGTTTTTTTTTTTTAAGTGTGGATATCTTCCCTTTGTTTAATGTGATATAGATGAATTAAGGTGTTTTTCTTATTGTAGCTAATTTTTCATTAAGTTCCTGGAAGTTTATTAATAAGGGATAATTCTAAGAGCACATGCATATGGAACAGGGAGTCAACATAATCTCTTTTGTTGTCAGTTTTTATTCAAATTAGATATTGAATGTCACTATGGTTGTTATCTTCTTCTTTTATAAGATGTGCATAAAAATTAAATTACCTTACTTAATAATATGCAAAAACTAAATGCTAAAGTAGCCCAACTCCAGACAGGAGTGGATCTAACAGGCTGAAGGGGAAAACAATTCTGACAGAAGAAAAAATGGGCATTCTTTTTCATCAAAACCAAGATATGCATTATTAATATTGGGTGGTATTTATGATGTCAAAAATAAATGAAGAGTATTTTGTGACTTTCTCCCTATGATTCAGTGAAATATTGAAATGTAAATATCAATAATCAACTATAAAAGCAGCTTAGCTTGCTTTGGTTTCAAAACATGTAATTTAGCATCATAATGCAGTTTAAGAAAATTGCTATGCTCTACTTAGTGGTCACTGGAAATTCCAACAGTCTGAGGATGTAGAGCTCTGTGTGCCAGGTTTTGAAGCAGAGAGCCCACTCTGCCAGCCTCAGTCCCTGCTGGAGCTCACACTTATCATTAGGAAGGAAGGAGAGAGCTATGCTGTCTGCAGACCGACAACACAGTCGTTCCAGTTTACTTAGCCATGTGCAGCTTGATAATAAATGCAATTCTCAAATGTTTTCAATTATATCGATTTTATAGTTAAGTGTTCTCTAGCAATCTAATTATGACATTTGACAAATTATCTTGCAAATGGCTCACTATACTGGAAAACACTTGCATTTTGTCATGTGACCTGTGGTTGTAGTCAACTGAAAATATACAGTGAATCCAGGAGAGCTATATAATTGATCGAACCATATGCAATTGCCACCATCCAACCTTCACACAATAAATTTGTGATTCAGTCTATTAGTGTATATGAAATAAATGGTCTTCCTTTCAAAATATGCTACCTTTTTAGTAAATATGTTTTTGTACCATGCTTGCCAAATATGTAGACAATATCATTAGAAAATACTATCATCAAGCATGTGTCTTTCATGTCCTACGAATGACTACTTCCTTGGAGTACTTACATTCATTAAATAAGTGAATAATCATGTGTTAAATATTAGTATTGCTTCTTTTCATTTTTCTCTTTGAGAAAATGAGTTTGCAATCCCCACTGGCCTCCTTTCATTCAGATTATACCAAGGTAGCCTGAATTCAAGTCCTATTCTGTTTCTACCATTATCATTACAGACGTTGATAGAAGCAGGTCACAGTGCTTGTGAGGACAGTGGACACACAAACACACACCTTTCATTTGGGAGTGTTATTTGAGCTCCCACGCAGAGCCCACCCACTGTGGACAGGCCACCCACTGGGGTCCCGAATACACACCTGTGCTCGTGCGGTAGGTGCCGGTGTGTGCTGGCGGCAGAGGGTCCCCCTGGCTCTGGCTGAGACTCCTCATAGGGGGCTTCTGATAGACGCGGTCTTCGTAGATGGGATCTATGTGATGTTCTGGGGACTGCAGGGCCCGCAGCTCTGGGCCCAGGTGCCCATGCTGGCTGCTGTATGAGGCTCGAGACCCAGCTGAAATAAATTAACAGAGGGATGTCAAGGCTCAACCAATCTCCAAGCTGAACTTGTTTAATCAAAGACACATTCAAATTTTTGGGACAAAACTGTTGAAATCCTCAGGAAACCAAATGAGTAACACAAAATGGCAGCACTATGTCAATCTAATCAGCTTATCGGCATCACCCAGCTGGCTGGCTTTGCTACCAAACATGATCTCACTCTAAGAATAATAATGTTTCTGAAATAAATCCACACTGAACAAGACCAGTGAAATGTCTTTTCGCAAAACCTAATGCATGTAGCTAGGTTCTTCACTAAAAGAATCAGGTAGGCAGTCAATCCTAAAAATCTCATATTACCTCATAGTCCTTGCACCTTAAATTATACAATAGAAATAATTTTAAATGATGAGCTACAACAGCAAAGCCATCTTGATGCTGTTCCTAAAAAGTGAACTAGACTTTGTTCCCATCAGCAGTTTTGCCCTGGGAAATGGATAAACTAAAATGATTGAACTTACAATGGCCTACATCCCGGAAAGAAACAGATATTAAAGAGAAAGGTTTTCAAGTTATATTTTCCTTTACTCTGTCTGACCCTCTACATTGAAGCATTTACATTTAGTCTGCCTCCCTCTGAAAATGGCAGGAATGATTGTCATTAACTGGTTTGATGTATAAATTGGGGCTTCATATCACTTTGCTTTGTAGTATTTATAAAACCTTATTTGTGTCACTTCATTGCATGGTATGATAAGAGGTGTTGATATGAGGCAATGCTCTGGATCAGAGAACCATGAGAATGTGAACAAGGGAAGCCTCTGCACATCAGGAAACAGACTTTCATGAGGCCGAAGAGGCTGGCCGGACAGACAGGACAGAGAACCTTGTCTGAGAGCCAGTATTTCATCTGAGGTACAGTCAGAACCACTGGAGCAGAAACATCAGGGAAATCATTTGCACTGGGGCAATGAGATGGCCTTGGGGCATCAAGGAGAGGTGGCATCTTCCATCATGAATACAGAACTCAGACAAGAACCAAAGGAGACAATGGCTGATTTGGGGAATGAGCCTTCAGCTACAACCTACAACTAATCCCCACACCGCACATTGGGATTTAACTGGCAACTGCCTTTCAGCAGCCCTAGTTTGGCCTCTCCATTCCAGCCTAACATGCCAGGATGCTGGGATTCCTTCCTCTCGGCCATGTCTGTGAACAGCTCTACTTCCATTCTGCCTTCCTCAGGGACCACTTTAAACCAAAGTCTTCAAATGCTCAATGTGACATCTGTCTCATCAGGAACATAGAAACCCAACATTGTAATATTCTTGTCTAGAATATTTGAGGAAAAAAGCCATTGTAAAGTTTTGAAATTGCCAAGAGAAAAATGTTTTACTGCCACGTTTAACATGGACTACTTTAAATTTAAGTACACAGAAAACAGTATTTCTGAATAATTGGGGCAGTGGTGAGAACTCCATGAATTCAGTGTTAATAAAAACCACTGAGTATTTTGAGGAGGGGAAAGGGATAGGGAAGGCAAGTTCCTTACTTTTCTCTTTCCTGGTAATTAAATAAATTCTGACTGAGATAGTGCTCTGATGAATGACAGACTCAAAGTAACTGTTTTGCATAATTAGGTTCATTGCATCTTATTTATCAAATGCCAACATCACTCTGAATATTATCTCAAGCTTATATTTTCCAGGAATATATTTAAGTACAATATTCTTAATATTGTACTTATTGTCAATTCTTATTCCTGAAGGTTTTGAAAATATTGCTAAGGATTTAAAAGTGTAAAACTAAAAAAAACAAAAACAAAAACAAAAACAAAAAAACAGTCATCGCATCCAAATGCAGAGAGAAGTAAAAAGTTATACATCACTGGTACATTTAGAGTTGTAAATTTATCACTACTCCTTTATTCTAAGCCTCAAAAAACATCAAATGATGACCAATGAAAGGATCTGCTGAACTTTTAAGGGGTGGCATGGTCTTAGGGTATATGTAAAAATCCTCTTTTTACATGCATTTACTTTGCATTCAGAAATTTTCATTAGTACCATTAGTCAAATTAAAGACCAAGGGTGCTAGGCCAGGAGGAAGAATCTAAGGTAAAGTCTACCTATGTAAATATCAGACGTTTGATAAGCTGACATTAATACAAATATAATAATACAATTAACTATCTGAATAGGATAATATACTTTTTTACATATTAGAGTGATCTGAGTATAACTATAAGCTCATAGTGTTTCTCTATGTAAACACTTGTGCAAAATACAGTTGCATATGTAAGCATTACACACAGTTCTGAATCAGATAAGGCATTTTAAAAAGAACATTATTTACTCTTCCTTTTATCCACTGTGATAAAATTTCAATTGCTCAAGGGTGGGCACAGTTGCAAGAGAGACACAGAGAAGCAGGGGAAGAGAAAGAGTTAAGGAAGCAAAGGTTCAGGATGTCACAGCTGGAATTCATGTGTTCTACCACCCTTGTTCAAGAAAGAACAAGTTGGATCCATACTAACAAGGCCTATTTTATTTGGGGCAATTTCAAGAAAAAATTCTCACACAATTGTTTCTGGGAATCTGCCACAAAATGTCATTATATGGTATATATATTTGCTGATTCATATAAAATATACTTTTGTTTAATAGTAAGTCTCTTTCATCATTATGGTCTACTTGACAGCGAATCTGAAGCGTCAGCACTAGACTCAAAACACCATTCATGAGCATTTACATCTTTGCTAGGGACTAGAACTCTGTTCTTATAACAAGAAAAAATACTGGAGAAAACCCAACTTTGTCTGAAATGTTATAGATGTCAAGGCCAAATGTTCTTGCCAATCATGTTGGTGGAGAACAATTCTGGGAACCCGGCCTTGACCAAGACCCTGCAGGGAGGCAGAGTGCAACCTAAACATGGATGAGTCAGAGAGAAAAGGGATGCAAAGCCACAGACCAGACCCACTGCCCTGATGGCTACCCCCGCCACGACAGACACAATGTCATGTAATCATAATACCTGTGTCTATAAAGCATTTCATGATCAATGACTGCAACAATTCCTACATCATCCAGTATTAATATTTCAATTTTATAATGTGGTTTTGCTCTTCCTGTTTATTCTCTTCACAGGACAAAATTGGAGTCTAGAGAGCTCAGGCACTGGGCAGCTTTTCATATACAGTGTGTTTGAAAATGAGCTTGAAGACTCACAGCTGAAACATGGGTGCTGGGCTTACAAGCTAAGGAAGATTTCATGAGGCAGGAGGGATAAAGGGTATTGGAACTTCCCTACATATATTCTGTGCAGGCTGCTGCTCCTACAGGTTTGGAAAGGCCCCCAAAACTGGGAAAGGCTTTCAAGTTGATCTAGGACTAGGCCTGAGGCATTTGCTGTATAAGAACTGCCACATATCCTGTCATGGAACCTCAGAGCCATCTCCTCTTCCCCACAGCTACAGGTGACCTGAATGGATGCCTGAACAGCTCCGAACCTGCATGACTACTGACCACTTTGCTGTGGGGTTGGTGTCAGGGGAGAGAGGAAAGGGTTCAGTCCTGTGGCAGGGGGAGGTATGGATTCTAGAGACCCGGAGAGATGGGCAGAAGGGACCACTGGAGAATGAGGGGCACAAGACCCCAGATATCTCCTGCTTCTATGTTGACCCCTTTATTCCTTGGCTTTCATTTCCATGTACAACTACGATGAGGAAACATGACAACATGGTTCAGCCTCAAATACTACACGTGAAAGGTGGCCTTGGGTAGTTGGTGATCAATAGCTGGAGGTAAACAGGAACCGTATCTAAAGTAATAATTTTACTGTTGTTTTTTTGTGTCACTTTTGCCTGAAGAATTTGAAATAAGAATATATGAATTCTGCCCCAGCTCTGTCTCTAACCAGCTGTATAAACTGAGGAAACTCACCACGCTCTTTGATCCCCAGTTTCCTCAAGTATAAAAACAGAGATAATAATATATGCATTGGTACAAAATGGTATTGTTGGAGGATCAGGATGAGAGAGACTATGTGGGAAAGTGCTCTGCAATGGATAAAGCAACATCGAATAGGTGTTCTCATGCCACTGAATCTTTGAATCAATAAATTATGTCATCTCATGCAAATACATCTTTTGATTCGACAAAACAGTTGAACACCTCTCACCATAAACTATCCAAATTTCAAAAACAACATGAAGATTTCAATTTGAAATAATCTAAATAAGAAACATATTTTTTCTGATAATTTTATGAAGTATTATTGCAAAATGTGAATATCACAGTTTTATCTTCTCTTAAAAATAAGTGTGCTTTCTAATGGGTAACAGCAAAAAACTGCAGGAATCAATGAAGTTCATGAGGAAAGGAAACAGTGAAATGACTGCAAAAAGGTGGCATCCTTTTTAGATAGGGATAGGGCATAAATTAAATCTCCAAATTGAAAAAAAAAATATCTGCTAATTCAGTAGGAAGCCAGTGACAGATTGCAGGGAGTTCTTGACATGGAAAATAGTTACAAGGCTGAAAGGTCTACATACGGCTCACCGCCTTGTGCCTTGCCTGTTCCTGTTCCACACCATGTTTTCCTTGGGTCAACAAGGCTGTTTTCATTTGGCCAGCAAAACAATGTATTTATTATTTTTAGAATGATTTGCAACTGAATTTCTATGTACTAGATTTTACACCTATCATTTATAGGTACTAGTTAATCCCTATGGATCTATAAATATATTCATTCAACACATCCACTGAATGTCTGGGAAGCTCCAGGAGTTGAGGATGTCCTAATGCTCCAGACAGACAAGGTCCCTGGCTTTGAAAATAAGTTTTACATGAAGGAGGATGGAGGTAAAGGTGTTGAGGAAAAATGAGGCAGGGCAGTGGGAAAAGAGACAAAGTGTCAGGAGGTTTTAGTGTTTGGCTAGGGGGATCTTTTCTCAGAAAGAAAGTTCTTTCTGAGCATCTGACCTTTTAGCAGAGAGCTGCAGACAGTGG